GGAGGCCACCAAGACTCCTTTGACTCCTCTGAGGTTTGTTGGCTATTAGATCAGATTTATCACTACGTCACAACAACAGTCAGTAAAAAGAAAACAAATGTAAGTATGAGCATCAAATAAATGTAAAACATTCTGTGCCTTCGATGAAGTAATTAGAAAACGTTCATGCAACGTTTGTTGATGAAGCTGTTTGTTTTTTTTCTTTCTGTCTGACATTGAGGATGATGGAATAAAAGCAGCTTGACCACCAACATGAAGGTAACCAGCAGGAGGCAGCGAGTGTGTTTCTACCTCCAGACAAACAGGTTGTCGGTAAACACGGCTGGAATCAGGGCTGAGCATGAACGTACGCTATATGCTGTGAGAGTGAACGGAAAGAGGGAGAACATCGCAGCTGAAGAGGAAAATGTTCAAAGAGGGAAGATGGTGGATGTTCCTGCAGACGGGACCATTTGTTCACCTCTTAATGGTCACTGACACACTGATTGAACTTTAACTGACAAAACAGGAAATATTCGGCTCGCTTTCCAACTTTGACTAACATGTCTGAAATCAGCGTTTACATTTTTGTTTTCTTTATAGTTACACCAAACAGCTAATACCCAGTTCAGCAGCTCTCAGAGCATTTTGATTTGGGTTTTACTGTTTGGTTCAGTTCTCCTCTTCCTGTTCAGATAGTAAATAAAGAAGAAATGTTCACTGACTGCTAAAAAGAGAAACCATTTGTTTTATTTCAGATTACGTAGATGTACATAAATTATATATAATTGACATAATCTGAGCATCTTTTCAGGCATCTTGACCTCCCAGAAGAGCATCCACAGTCTTCTGTTTATGAATAAAGCTTTAATATTTTATACACAGCACCAATAACAGAACTTGGATTCTTTAATGCGCCGACACACTTCCAGCAGCGATGTCACATTTATTTTAACTGTTAGTGCTGATTGGAAGAGTTCTGCTTTTATATGTTCACTCTCTATAGAAAATATTGAAAAAACAGCTACAATTATGTTTGAAATGGGTCCAATTACTAAAGTATACTTTATTTTCTTATCAAATACCACGTTTCCCAGTGTCCACCAACACTATAAATATCAAAATGGAATCCAGTCTGTGTGATGATTTACATTAAAAAATTGCGATTCTGCAGCTGTGCCCAGTTTCTCAGAACTTTCAGTGGGTCTCAGCTCATCGTTTAGTTCTCCAGTCGCTTGTTTTTAACATTTTGGTTCAACACCTTGATAGCACCTTTTTTTTAGCAGATTCTTCTTTATTTAAAATAAAAACTCAGAAATTCCACAAAGGGGAACATTTAGCAGCCAAAGAACCAGACATGTGTTCAGGGAGCTGGTGGAGACCAAACCTGGAGCTAAAAGAGAGCGACTGCTGGGCTACACATCAGCTTAAAAGACGACATGTTGGTGTTTTGTGCACAACAAAAAGCCACCGCTGGTTGACGAGGTTACAGGATGAATTTATTTTCTCTTGAACTGTTGCTCAGCACGTCTGCACATTACAAAGTTATTTAAATATATATACGGGTTCAGACTACAGCGTCCTGCGGTTTGCATGTAGGACAATAACAAGGCAGACTTTATTTCCGCTCTGCACTCAGTTGCATTTGTTAATATAACAGCAAAGGGGCGGTTAGATCATTAATCTGGGGGGGAAAACAAACAAAAAATCAAATAAAACCCCACCACCACCACCACCAACAAATAAAAGCTCACGAGGAAACGGTTCACTGAATCCTTTCTGATGTTCCTCAGACGTCCACATGTTTTCCGATGGGCGGCGCTGGAGGGAAAAAATATGCTTTGTGCTGTTTCACCCACACAAAAAATGGAAAAACTCGATTCGGTTTCTTCATGCTCAGACAATAATATTCAAGCTGCCATTGTTCTGTTAAAGTGCTTCGGCCTGAAACATAAAACCTCCGTTACACTGATAAATAAACATAAACTTCATGGGATAGACGACGTGCACATAAAAGCTGCAGAGTGCCAAACAGGATGTATGCAGAGCGAACATGCTGAACAGGCTTTATTGTTCATTTAGACTCATGGTAACACGACTGTGTTCGGTTATATGTGTAAGGAACTGAATCAGAATTACAGATTAAGTTTAAAATTCTCACACAAATAAAACCCTCGTCACCTGCGAGGTCATTTCTTAAGCTGAAACTCACTGTAAATATTGTTCACATAGTTTTTGCTCGGCTTTACCTTCC